AAGCTTGGTGCAGGACATGGTATTGTCCAAAAGAAAAACAGCGATACTGTTAGTAGCGCTGAAAAGGCTCGGACAGCAAGAGCGGCTGTAAGCTACAGCTTCTATTCGATTTACAGGCATATCAGTAACTGAGACCGTGTATGTCGAGGTCTCCAGACCTCATCCTCGTTAGGATGGATAAAGACAACAATGATTTGGGACCTCCCAAACTTTTCTCTGTTAAAACGAAGGTCTATTTCTATAAGTCGCAGTTTCCGAATCAAGCTAGATTAAATATGAACATTATAAACAATTTACTTTCGGTTTTGCCATCAATTCAACGCTTTTCGCGTAAAAAATTGTAAAAATGATTTGTAACTATCAGTTGTTTTTAAATAAAGCATCACACAGTACTATTCAGTGTCACAGCAGCATGAGACATATAAAATCTTACGTACTAAGTATGAGATACGTTTCGGCCTGTAAGAAAGTCGTATGAAGTACATAGAGTAGACTGCAAAATTCGTGGACTACGAGCATCGTATCTATTCGTTGAACCACGTGAGAACCATTCAAATGGTAACGATCAATCCTTCTAGCAGCTTCATTCTACAAAAGGTTCCATCCCGAACACTATGCGCGTACCAGCTTTCTCCTTCATACTGCATCTTTTTGCTGCGACGAGTCTACTTGGCAGTGCTTTCCACCACGACTCAAACTCTTCAAAACACTCAGCTAATCGCCAGCTGAGAGCGCAAGATTCACGAGCAAAAACAAAAGTGATTGGTGACGAAGAAAGAATGATCAAATTTCCATTTAATTTGAACGTACCTGAACCCACCAGATCAATAGAGATTCCTCTCGCCTTGCATCTGCTTTCAGAAGTGCGTGGCCAACAAGGAATTACTACTTCAGCGGGACCCTCGCAGATCCGGAATAATGACTTATTGCATCATCCATTGGTGGCACAAATGAGAACCGTGGTCGCTGAACCACACAGCGAGCAAACAATTTTGAAGCTTATTCAAGATTTTAACACTGCCTGGAATTCGATACATGGGGGTATGCATGTTCACGTGAAACCATCATCACATATCAGCCAGCTGAACCCCTATATTCTAAAAATTCTCACCATCGCTCTAAGGCTCAAATCAGAACACAGGGCTGGAATAGAAAAAGATAGCTGGATATCTACCGTGAACGATTTGATCTCTTTCGGATTTACTCGTAAAGAAGTGGAAGTATTATTGCGTACTGCTGGAAACAATGACGTGGAAGGATATATGGCGTCGTACGATCAAATGATGTCTGCAATGCCGACAGAAAACATTCTGAATTTTATGGACCTAAATTTCGGCACCACACTTACAACCTTCGACGTGAATTTCGCTCGACGTTCTGTTGAATTGCTCGCAAGCATAGCAAAAATCGTTGGTCAAGCACGTTTGCCCGATAGGAGTGCCGCCTGGGGAACTGCTCTGGACATGTGGTTTCAGATTGAGAATGTTGAAACGGACCCTGAAAGAGTACGATGTACCTCTAAGTATATAGAGACTGCAGTATTGAACGTCTATTCTATACTCACAACGCGGTCAAAAAATAGCAATCGAAAAAATAACATGCGAAACGGATGAGAAGGTTTGGTCTCGCAACTTCTGATTTACATTTCGAACTACGCTCTTCACATAAAAAGGTAACTTGATCAATAGAACAGGTTCTTATTATTACAGAACAATTAAGTTTAGGTTACTATTATGTTGATATTGCTGCATAGAATATTAGCGATGATAGTACCAAAGTTTTTTCGTTAAATGTCGTCTTAAGAATTCGAGGACTTAGAAGCGATAATTTATCTACGATCATGTTGTCTACACTACATGTACGGAGGCCTTACGGGGAATTGTGCTCGTGTTCATACCGCTGCTGCATTTCTCACTTCGCTCGCTTACTGCATCGTACATTTTTCAGTGACTTGTAAAATATCTCGCTAACACTCTGATTACAATTTAAGTGTACCGTTTCTAATTTACGATGAATATCATGTCTGCCAACTATTCAGTCGATGCGTTCATCCAATTTTATATTGTGTATCAAAAGACTTTGTACCTATTTTGATAGAAGAAGACTATAATGTATCTTTCGTGCTATTCCCACAATTCCCATGTACTCAGCCACTTCTACCACCAAACGTTAGAATACCGTCCGAGCACTTGAGCCAAGTATGAGTCTGCGTCTAATTAAGCTGTGCATCCAAGTATTAAGCTTGAACCTGCTTCGACGAATTACGGACTGTTCGGAATAAGATAATCGTATGTACTGGCGTGTGGTTCGTGAGAGGCAGATGTTGCAAATCCTCTCACCGCCTTTCAAGCTTTCTCACGCTATAATCGATTGTCAAGGAAGTAAAAAAATTACGCTTTTGAGACAGATGTTGCAAATCTTATACCGTCTGTTCAGGCTTCCTCATGCTTGAACTACCAGTCAAAATAGAAAAAAATTGGTGGACTTCTTGCGTGGGTGGAGAGCTCTTATTACTCAAATGCCGACAAGCCCGTTTCTGGATTCGGCAAAAGCTGCAATATTGTTGTAGGATAATGTGAAACCCGCTCAGACATTTTTAAGATAAGTAAATATCGCCTTTGATTTGAAGCATATATCTTTCTATCAGCTAGTCTTGCTAAAATCCGGATCTACAGTCATGCTATATGTAACTGATTCGATTTGGGCTGAGTTTAAACGCTGATCTCTCAGCTACTTTGCATTGCGTGATATTCGCATGTGGTGGATCCTAAAAAGCCCATTGAAAGTCTGCGTGGCTACCTTCCTATCATCACCTGGAAGATTCGAGCTCCCATTAAGAGATAGCCGACAAATCTTTGCAAAATGTAGTAAGGAAAAAGGTGGTTTCTAATAAAAAGGAGTTATATTGAGCCTCGGAGGGGTTGAGGGCAATGTGATTTAGCTCTAAAGAGAACGACGCTCTTTCAGCGATGTATATTCACTTACTGGAACTTCTTTAAGTCATTAGCAGCTCAGGAGCGTCGAGCAACTATGTGCAAGACACTACAGAATACAGTGAGTAAAATGCGAAGTCCTAGACCGGATACTAACATCAATGTATCGCGACAATGACAATAATTATAGAGGAAGAAAGTTCTGGTGAGCCGTCGAATAAAATTTGAAGCGTGAAACTCTCTTTTGTCTGAACTAAACTAAAATCCTAGGACAGATTTTTTTTACTTATGACCGTTTGCTATAGGTTCGACTGAAAGTCGAAGGAGTTAGGTATTATGCAGTTTTTTTTCCAATGAAGCTTTGGATATTTATGACCCCACATTTGCTTAAAATCGAAAACACTTTTAGAAAGTACACGAAGCTGCGGTAGCTTTGGTGCAAGACATGATATTGTACAAAAAAAAGAAAAGGATTGTTGAGAAGATGGCAAAATCCGAAGTGAATATATCTAGGTCCTTAGTTTGCTACTCTGTGCTACCTCTAAGCCTGTCCTTCTAGATCCTTCTAGAAGCTTCTTAATGTAACCTTATCTATCTAGACCA